CGAGCGGGCTCGGCTCGTCTAGCCCACCAGCCAGCTCGGGCTCGTTTTTTGACGAGCCCGAGCGGCTCGTGGGCGTGAACAGTACGAGCCAAGCTGGCGAGCCGACGAGCCGCTCGGCTCATTTGACACCATTATCATCGAATGACGTACATTCAGACATCCGGTAAGAATACAAGCGCTGTTTCAAATATAGCTTACTGGTAAAGTTTTTTGTCATGCAAAGTTACTCCAACTTCAACCACAACACAACGACACTTCTCTCCTTTAGAACATCCTGAAAAATTTGATTTCAAAGATGTAGATGAATTTGAGATTGGATTTTTCGATCCCTACGATGTTTTTCATCATAAGTCTAGGTAGCATGCATCTTATCAAAGCCAAGTAAGACTTCCTCCAAATCCATCTGCTCTAGAATGGCTCGCATCTTCACTGTCATAAGGTAAATCTCGTGTTTCTATTCAACAATGGGATATCATACTTCATTGTCACCATGCGGAATAATCAACCTTGCTTAGATATCACTTGTTACGGAACAAACAAGATATCAGAATTGTTCTGATATCAATTGTTATGAATTTGGATCAAGTGATAATAACGATGATGAAATAAATAAGAAGAAAATAAACACCAAAATTTACGTGGAAACTCAATACGGGAAAAAACCACGAGCAGAGGAAGAGAAATCCCATTAATCAATAGCAATTGTATTTACAAGATCTTAATGCACTCAATTGAAATCTATAGCTCTCAAGATATTGTATGAATCTCTTTCTGTTGTGTTCCGTTGTGTTATTTTATACAAGTCATGTCATACATATATAAACCACAGAGAATAAGTTGTAAAAGAATAGGAGTCCAAAATCGCGTCAAAAATGAAAAAATGGCCTGGGCCGAATAAGCATATTGCTCGAGCAACATACGAGCAATAGGTGGGAGATAGCCTCATCGCTCGAGCGATAGGCGGCGCCGGACGAACGACCAAGTCTCGAGTTATTTTCTAGATCGTCCAGCTAGCGCCAAACTAGCAAAAATGTGGTGACTTTTTTCTCTGATCCATAATTTTGATTTTTTCAAGATCACTCCAATTTAAACTACAATATCCACTAAAATTTGGGTCAAACC